ACCTCATAAAACAATAAACTCTACTAATACAGCACTTGTCAAATTTTTGTTCTAGTTGAGCATGAGATAATGATAGGAGGAAGGTGAAATGGGGGGACTAACCTATATTAGTGGAAGATATACACCTTATCTAAGTGGAGGTTTTGTGTTATTGATTATAAACTATGTTTAGGATATACTTTTTAAGTTCAATATCCGTTGGTTGCAAAGTTTACGGCGAGGTACGGGAGAAATGGAGGGTAAACTTTTGTAAGGGTTTGCTGGAACTTCAAATAAAATCCTCTTTCAAGATTGACCTCCATCCCTAAGGAGAAATAAGGTTCAGCTCAAATAAGCACTTGGCCAAGGAAATTGTACTTGTATAACAGAGGATAGTGATTAGTGAAGTATTACAATGATGTATTCGAGTGCTATATTTTTTTTATATCAGTTTACTGCCCCTTCGTTCTGTCCGTTTACTGTCGTAGCCTGGGCTAAAGTGTTGTTGTGCACATAATTAAGTAGAACATAGTTTCTGGAGATTATCTATTTGTCACAGTTAGATCTGATTGGTTGATATTCTTACCCCCCCCCCCCCCCATATATATTTTACCAACTTTAGATGTCTAGACAGGCTCTTGTCTAATCATCTGCGGTATTTTGCAGATGCCTCAAAGACTGGTGTTGCCCAAGAAACATTACAGAACGCTGTCCGTAGAAGTAGCAAGGTCATGACAGAGCAGGAAGCTAGGCAGATTCTTAATGTCTCAGAGACGACCACTTGGGAGGAAGTTCTGAAGGTAAATATTCAAACATTTTCATCTTTGGTTACCCTCTCTGGCCTTGTATATTCGTTGTGAATGGCGTTTCTAAAACATGTTTCGTAAACCCAAGCAGAGGTACGACACTCTATTTGAAAACAATGCGAAGAACGGGACCTTCTACCTTCAGTCAAAAGTTCACAGGGCGAAGGAATGTTTAGAGGCTGCATATCGAGACAAAGGCCAGAGTACGGGTACCCCTAGTTGAGAGGAGTATGGTTTATTTTAACTGTATAATTAGTGTTCTTGCGGTCTGTCCGCTGGCTTGAAACCGAATAATTGAAATTATATTACGAGTCTACGACACATAAACACGTGCGTTTCTTCGAAATGCCAGAGTTTGTTGAAGTTGTTGTGTTCACATCACATCTGAATTATAATGTTTGATCAAATAATCAAATAATTAGTGGTTGTGATTTGCAAAGTGGTCTTAAACGGAGGGCTGAAGCCTTGAAGGAAGAAGCCATCAAGCTTTTCGTTTCATCGTGCCGTTGGCCAAGCTGTAGTTGAGGGTTCCTGTTTGTTGGATAATAATAAAGCAATTTTTTGGCTACTTTGATTGAGAAAAAGATGGAAAAAGCACATTTTAAATTGATTAGTTGTGGAATATGAATATGAAGAGCACCATCAAATTAAGTATTTTTTATTTAGGTATGACCTTTGATTCTCTATAAAATAATGCAAATTTCGTCCCAACTTGGGCCGGTTTATATGGAAAGACATCCTCTCCGGATCTCTTCCATCAAAACCCATGGATCAAGTTATTCGGGCTCATGAAATTTGATCAAACGGTTAAAAACAAAGGCTTATTTTAAAAGTTATAATAATTTTAGTCGTTAGATCAAATTCCAAGGGTCCGGATCACTTGATCCGAGGCTTTGGTGAAAGAGATCCGGAGTAGGAATCAAACTTTCTACTTTAATAAGTTATAATTTTTCTGAATCCCGTCTTAAGGAAACTTGCCTTCGCATGGCAATAATTGTTATTAAGTTTGAAAATTTGTGATGTTGGAAATCAAAGTTCAAGCGAAGTGAAATATTTATCTACAGTTGTTTGGGTATTGTTATTTTTTAAAGTTGATGCGGGTACATAATACCTTGTCAATATGAATACTTTCTTGTTGAGGCCAAAATGTTTCAAGCTTTTCAAGCATGTTTACTGCTTGGCCTAAAACTTTTGGTATGCTTTTGATTAAGGTGTCACTCTTCCTTCAATGTTACATTTTGGAAATTGACATGCTCCACTACTAATACAATTCTTTGTCCATACGACTTTCATGAAGGATAAAAATATAAAACAATAATATTTTTTAGCTACAACTTTATTAAGTAATAACTTTCTTATAGTATTAAAATTGCTTAGGTGCCACACTGACTATATAGAGATTTTACTATATTTGTTCAATCTAAGAGATAGAAAAATGGGCCTTACATAAAGAGGGGGTGTGCAGAAGGTGAAAAGACGTGCAAAAATTGGATAGTTAGGCGTTTAAAAGGGGTGTAGCTTCAATACTATGTAACACTCTTAATGTTGCAGGTGCTTTAGCCATGAAAATTGATAGGGAGACCACATTTGTGTATCATCTCATGTGACAAGTGTTGTGTACATATCATGTCTTTGATTAGATATTCATTGTATGCATCATGTGTCACATACGATATTACACAAATAGTATAAATATGTGGTCTTCCTAACATTACTCTTCAGCCATAGATCTTTTCTTTTTAATTCCAGCCATTTATTTCTATACCACTCAATGCTATTGTACCATTGAAGAAAAATTAGTATAATAAAAAGAAGCAAACTTTTGAGGTTCGAGAATTTTTCTTTCCATCTAAAAGAAAACTACGAACTTCTTCTTTAAAATTCTTGAAAAAAAATAAAAATTCAAAATCAATGTTTATATTGGAAATACTTTCAAGATTTGACTACAATACTTATATGAATTAAATACGATCACCATCTCAACGGTTAAATAGTATAAGTATTGTAGTCAGTCCCATAATTTTGACGCGTCTCATGATAAAAACAAAAACATGAACTCTCTATAGGATAGGATAGTTGGGAATGTTTCTAGAAACTCTGTTTTACTATTCCATTTTGGCAAATATGGAAACCGCGTTAACCGTATCGCTTTTGCGCGACTGGAAAAACTTCAGTGTGACCTGTTGCTGTTACAGCTCTCTCGATTTTTTTTAAAATTTTTTTTATATATTTGTTTCGTCGGTGTTCCGAGAAATAAAAGGAGGCTTGACTATTTTTTTGGTTTTTCTTTTTGGTCGCCTTTCAGGTTAACATGGACATTGGTAAAGTTACTAAAGTGTATTACAAAGAGGCTTTTATGAATTCGTTTCGAAATATTTTTAAAATAGTTGAAAACGTTTGTATTTTTTGAACAAATTTATAGTAAAATGTAAGTAAATTATGGAATAACACTTGATGTTTTGGGAAGAAGCACATAACTGGTGCTTCTTACAAAAAGCAATTTGAACCCAATAATGTTTTTTCTGAAAGCATTTTTAATCATTTTAAAAGTATTTTCAAACGAGCTTTATGTTTATATTATGGGAGTTGCTTCAGCATCTCAAATAAATAATACAATAAAGAAAATAAAGTGTCTTTTATTGTGCTTCTTCTAGTAAACACTTTGAACCCAAATTTTTTTAATCTAAAAACGCTTTTAGACGAGCTTTATGTTTATATTATGCCAGTTGCTTTAGCATCTTAAATGAATTAAACACTAAAGAAAAATAAAGTGTATTTTTATTCATCATGGAACTCCTTTGCCATCATTGCTTTGTTAAGAAACTCCAAAAATTGTTATTTGCTACAAAGGGGATGATGAGCATTGAGGCATGGAGATAAGAGAATCTCTATGTATATAAGCAAAACCAAGTACTTAACAATGTGGCATGTTTATTTGCTCCAAAAATTGTTTATGTGGCATGTTTATTTCTCTTATTCAAACGAAAAAGATCAAGATTTATTTTTTTTCAACCTACCATAACAATTTAACTCCTATAAAATGAGAATCAAACTTGATATGACAACAAAATTGGTTGAATTGTCCACCTACACCTACCACCCAAAACACCTCTCGCTATGTTTTTGGTAAGAAAGGGACCCATTTTTCAATGTTATTACGTTATTGCGACTCCAAATGAAAGAAAAAGTATTAAACTCTTAAAAAAAAACATAAAGAAGAAGAAAACTATAACACACCAATAAAAAATCTTTTAGTCACAATTAAGATTTAAGAAAAAAAGTTAGACAGAGAGAAAATAAAAATAATTAACTGTAAGTGGTTGATTGTTGCGGTGGACAAAACTTTTTTTTTAACAGTGAGTGATTGATTGTTACGGTGGATTAAACTCTTTTTATATATTGTATTTCGAAATTCAAATTATTTCTCGTTTATAGTTAAATTTAAAATAAAAAATATGAAATTGTTATTGGCACATTAAAATTTTATTTTGCACTATTTACAAGTGTTAGATTTAGTTCTAAAATTATCACTTCAGAGAAAATTAGGTCATTGAATTATTATTTTTTTTTTTAAAATCAGTCCTCAAACTAATAAAATATGTCAATTACATCCCTAATATTAGATTCAAAGTTATTCTATTCAATTTTTCATCAATTTAAATCACATAACTTGCATGTGATATATTTTAGAGAGTAAATTGGTAGTTTTTCATATTTTAAAGACTTATTTCATTCGAAAAAATAGTTTATAGAGATAACTTTGAAGAATAAATTAAACGTTAGATTCGTAATCTATATGCAACATTAAGGGCTTATAGGCAATAAAATAGTGACAATATCCTCTAAAAAGTGTCAGGTGAATTAAGTTGAGGAAAAATTAGATAAAATAACATTGAATATAATTTTAGGGATAAGATTAGCAGTTTATAATGAATTTATAAACTTATTTTACTGAGAAAATAATTCGGGACTTAATTTTCATTAAAATAATAATTCAAGGACTAAATCGGCAATTCACTCTTTCTAAATATAGAAGATTTTGAATGCAACCTGAGATTTTTGAAATTTCGACCCCTTTTCTTTATTATGGTTTTTTTATTGCAGTTTAAAATAGAAATATTGAGTAGTAATTAAAAAAATAAAAATAAAACAAATAATTTACACATCAAAAATAAAAATATAAAAAACCTAAAAACCAAAAGCCAAAGCCAAACACCTCCTCTCTCTTGGCTATATTCTTATTTTGTTCAAAGAGGAAGACAATCACCAGAAACAGCTCAGGGAATTCAGGAGCTCTTCTCTCTCTCTCTCTCTCTCTCTCTCTCTCTCTCTCTCTCTCCTCCTCCTCCTCCTCCTCCTCCTTCACCTCCCTCTGTCTTTACCAGATCCATTTCTCATTCTTTTTCACAATTTTTTGGGGGACCCAATAATCGCTTCAATTGGAACAGGTAGGTTTCATGTCATTTTAGATCTGGGTTTTCTTAAATTTATTCAATTTTCAGATCTAATTCATTTCCTTTCTGCGTGTTTGCTTTAATTCAGCTGTGCTTATTTGGACATTTGATTTCAAATTCTATTTTTTACCCAATTTATAATTTTTTATGGGTCAAATTATTATCTGGGTTTTTCGATACTCGATTCAATATGTTCATTCATTGTTTATATATGTATGTTCATTTGCAACACATAACATATGATTCAAATTTGCCAACAAGTTTTGAATTTTCATGAGATTTGGGTTTCAATTTTGATTGATCTGAGGCATTTTTGTATCATTTTTTATGATTTAATTTAATTTTAGATATTCTTTTTTTGGGAAGCAAAGATGTTGATTTGATCCTTGCCTTCTTTAAACGGTATTGATGCTTCTTGCAGGTCAAGGTTCCCTAACAGGCGATATTCGTTTGATTGGATCGTGGGTTTTGCTGCTGTTGTCGATTGCTATTGATTCGGAAATCGTGTTACGATGAAGAAAGTCTTTGATCAAACTGTTAGGGACTTGTAAGTCTTGAATTGTGTTCATCACTTTAAATTGTTTACTATGTTTTTCTCAATTTTGTAGTGCTTAGATAATGATCTTCCTATTACTTGTTACTTTAAGACTATTTTGAAGGGGAAAATGTGATCTTTTTTGGTACTTCTTTACAAATTCTGTATTTTTTTTGTGACCCGGTTGATAAAGAAAGTTCTTTTTACCGTATGGATTGTATCCAAAACCGCTAAACTGCCGTGGTTTATTGTGTTGTTGCAGAAAGAGAGAGGTGAACAAGAAGGTCCTGAAAGTTCCTGGAATAGAACAGAAGGTAGTTTTCTTCTTAGTCAGCTCTGCATGTATGTTTATAATTTTGTATGCAAAAGTAGGTTGGTTGATATTCATCAGTGGCTAGGCATAACTGCCTTGGGATGTACTCTCTCTCTCACCAACTCACACACGCCCTCTTCTTTTTAGGTTCTTGATGCTACTAGTAATGAGCCCTGGGGTCCTCATGGATCACTTCTTGCCGAAATTGCACAGGCAACCCGAAACTAGTAAGTTTGACAGTTTCTTTTTATGATTTCTTTGTATCACGATCTTCGAAAGATATTCATTTCTGAACAATTGTGCAGTCATGAATACCAAATGATAATGGCTGTCATTTGGAAGCGGTTAAGTGATACTGGAAAGAACTGGAGGCATGTTTACAAGGTTTGTCATCTAGTAACTTTCAGATACACATTGTTTAGGATTCTCTCTCTTTCTTTCTATCTCTGCGTCTGTCTCTCTGTCTCTCTCCCTCTGCCCTATCCTCTTCCATCTCCATATAGTTTATGAGTAAATCCTATTATTACCGTCACTGTATTTTTTTTAGGGGTGTGCTATCCACACACCTCATTTTACTTCTCACACACCCCTTGATAATTTCTGTCCGTTGATCTTCTTCAATTCATCCGATCTAACGGCCGAAAATTAAAAAGGTGTGTGAGAAGTAAAATGGGGTGTGTGGATATCACACCCCTTTTTTTATTTTTATCTTCACAATGCAGCTAGTAATATGGCGAGGTTTTGTTTACTTCTGTGTTGACATGTGGTTCATAATATATTTTGTGCTTCAAATCAGGCTTTAATTGTCTTGGAATACATGGTGGCAAATGGGTCAGAACGTGTCATCGATGATATTAAGGAGCATGCTTATCAAATATCGGTAATTTCCACCCTTTGTTTCCAAGATTCATATTAACTCTTTATTTATTCATTTTTTCTGAGAATAGCAAAGAACATGAAATAGTTGCTTCTTTTTGGTGCATTGGGAAGGGATGGAACCCTTGGCATATCATAATAATAACCCTTTTACTTACCACACACCACTTGGGCCAGCCCCATTGGATTAGCTACCAGACTTGTTTATCGAGCTAACTGAACCAGTACTTTTTCCTTGATACAGACATTGTCCAGTTTTCAATACATTGATTCCAGTGGAAGGGACCAGGGAAGTAATGTCAGAAAGAAGTCTCAAAGTCTTGTGGCTCTTGTCAATGATAAAGAAAGGATAATTGAGGTTAGACAGAAAGCAGCTGCTAACAGGGACAAGTAAGCATTCTCTCAGAAGGGGCTATGTTTTCATAACTATCTTTTACTTTTCTTGAATTCTTTTTTTTCTTATTTTAATTTTAGTATTTATATAAGCATCCCATGCCATTATGAACAGGAAAAGTTTCTCCACTTGAAAAAGTTATTCTTCCGAAGTCTTATATTGAAGTTTCTTTATTGCTTTACAGCATTAACTGTTATTTCAGTAGTGTCTGTAATACTTCAAAAGACTGTTAGTGTTTTGCCTTATTTCAGTAGTGGGTGTAAGAGAAAAAAGTCAAGATCTATATGTATAAGAAAAGTAAGAGTAGTGTTGTAGAACTATGCCCAGTTCATCCTCTACAGGAAATTATAATGAAAGAGGTTTCTGACTGATTTCTATATCCCAACAGGTTCCGTAATACAGCATCAACAGGTGGAATGTATAGGCCCGGTTCCCATTCAAGTACAGGAGGATATGGTGACAAATATGACGATGATCGTTACGAAGGCCGCTACGGAGGCAGGGATGAAGATAGGAATGGCTATGGGAGGGAAAGAGAATGGGGCAATAGGGATGATGATCGGTACAGTCGTGACGGAGATCGTTATGGTAGAGAATATGATGAACGCAACGGGAGAGAAGGTTACAGGGATGATGATTACCGAGGAAGAAGTCAAAGTGTTGATGATTACCCTCATGGCTCTAGAAGTAGAAGCTCTGATAGAGAGAGGGAGCGTTCAGTTGATGATGATGGTCAATATTCCTCTCGGTAATGGTTTTGTTCTGTTGATAATTTTGAATCATTACTAGTATGTGATTAAGAAGTATTTTGATTTTATTAGTGGCATGTATTCTGTTTAGGTTATTTTAGAGACTATTTTCAGGAAGTCAACTTAGTTATCTTCTTGAACATTGAGAAGGCAGATTTGTTATTTAACAATTTTATTCTCTTGTTTCTATGTTATTTAATTTATTCATTTTTGTGATGGTTTGACTGTAGAAAATATTACTGTTAAAATATATGTTTTCTGCAGGAAGTACTAAAGATAACTTTTCCATCTTAATGCATTAAAAGTGGAAGTGCATATTTGTACATGCCAAAATTTTTTGGATGCTTTTACATTTTTTGTTTTATTTTAAAATTTTTTGTAATAGTTGAGGCTGCAGTTTGATGTCTTTATTGTTTACTTATTACTTAACCTAAATTGGAAACTTACTGTTTATTCTTTATGTGTCCTCATTGCAGTGGTAGTGGTGCTAAAGCTGATGACCAATCCCAGGATGGAAGGTAAATCTTCAGGGACATGTGCTTGAAATATATTCTTGTCTGTGTGGCTGTTGGACATGAATATAAGTGATTAAAGTTGGATAGGAATCAGTTGATACAATTAAGATCCTAATACTATCACTTGTACTGCATGCTGATCCCTTTGAAAATTTTATCGAATAAGAAGTAAATCACATAAAACATATAGTTTAAGGTTGAGAGGAACTTTATGTGTATGGAAGGATTTTTTTAGTATTGGGCCATTTTAAAGATCTTTATGTTCATAGCAATATATTGATTTTTTATGGGTATATGGATCTGTATATACATATGCCTCATATTGAAAATATTAAAGATTTCGGTAACAGAAACAAAGTAATGATGATAATATAGTAAATTTCAGGAATATGGTATTTTCATCAGAGCATTCCAGAAGACTGCCACTTCCCAATAACAATATTATTCATCTTTGGCAGGCTAAGTAGGAAATTTTCTGAACAAAACATTGGGGCTCCTCCTAGTTATGAGGAGGTTGTAAGTGAATCTCGAAGCCCTGTTCACAGCGAAAGGTATTAATTTGTATAAAGAATTTGATCACCCTTTATTTTGTTTTCCTATTTTAAGCATTAGCTAAATCATTTAATATTTCTTCTTGATTACAGGGGTGGTGAAACTCCAACAGCTTCTGCTCCTAGGGCTTCATCTCCACCTTCAAACAATAATCCAAGCCAAGCAACCAGTATTCATGTTACTTCTGCATCTAATCCAAGCCAAGCAACCAGTGTTCATGTTGCTTCTGCATCACCTGCAAAACAGGAAGTGGAGCCTTCAGATGAATTTGATCCACGTGGTTCTGTTTCAGGTTAGTAAGTCCTGTATGCATGTTTATGCTTTACTCCAGTACGAACTGCTGAAGAATGTGTTATCGTTGTGTTTATAATGATTATAACTCAAAATTTCTTTATTGTGAATTGTTTGTTGCAAATGTCAGGACGGGTGTATTTGAATGGCTGAGGGTCCCATTCAAATGACATGGGACATCTGCTACGAAACCCTACTCTTTTTTAGTTGACCAAAAAAAGATAGATTATCATTTCTTTTGCATGAATTTGCTACTTTCTTTTATCTTGATTGTTTGACTAGGGGGAAGCAATCAAGTTAACTTGTCTCGTTCCAATTTTCTGACTGCTTTTCTTGGAGCATCTTCAAAGCAGATGTCAAAATGTCCAAATAAGCAATAATGGTAAAAACAGACAGCAGCAATGTTTTCCAACTGAGAAGCCAAATCTGATGTGGCATGAGACATAGAATGGCATCTCTCCCCCTTGCTGCCAAATTTGACAGCAACTTCAAAAAAAAAAAAAACTATTAAATTATTAATTTTTTATTGGTTTAAAGTCTTGCCTTTTAATTTTTTTTCATTACCAATGAGCGGTAGGTCTCGGGTTCGAGACTTGGGAGCAGCCTCTCCATAAATGGGGGTAAGGCTAGCCGACATTCACCTCTCCCAGACCCTGCGTAAAGCAGGAGCCTTGTGCACTGGGTACGACCTTTTGACCAATGCAATGTTTGAATATTTTTATACTTTTTAATTCATTTTCTTTCATTACCAATACAAAGAAAATAAATATGAATTTTTATTTTGTTTAAAGTTTGACATATCAGGTGGAGAGCAAAATTTTAAAAGATGTCAAAGTGCCACATAAGCTGTCAAATTTAAATTTTATGTTTAGAATTTGAAATCTCCTTTGGAGATGGTCTTATTGTTTTCTGACAACAGTACATCTTTCCTACTAAGCTATTAGTGAGTGTTTATTTGTGTTTCTTAGGTTTTAGAAGTTGGGAAGATTTTTGTTATTTTGTGAATCCTCTTCTCTTCTCTTTTACTTTCCTGTTCAGTGTTTCATGCCACGGTCAACTCTCTTAGAATGATAGGTGATGGTAGTTATGGAGATATTATGGTTATTAACTTAGACATGGTGATTGCAGTTGTGGTGGTAACATTGGGATTGTGGAATTATTGTTGACAGCCTCCTCTTAGTTTAATATTAAGTAGGGTTTTAGCATATTATTTATGAGCTAGTATGTCTGGGGTGCGATTTGTACTGGTTGTCTATAACATCCTAATACTGTTGAGTGGAAGGCAGTTTAGATTTCTATGTACACCCTGTTGATACAGAGAACAAAAATCTCGTGTAACAGCGTAGTGTTTTTATGTTAGTTTATGCTCCTGAGTATAAAATTCTTATATGTTATCCCTGAAAAAAAGATCATTTACTATCTCGGTACCCTTTTGCAAGCAGGTTGTTTCTATACAGTTGTTCTTTGGCCTTTCAGGGACTAGCTGCAAGATTTTAGTTGCATTTATGTTTGTGATTGAAATGCAGCACTATGAGAAACTCACATTGTCTTTCCCTTAACAGCTACCCCAGCTCCCCAAGCTGCCCCAGCTGCCCCAGCTGTCCAAGCAGCCCCGGTTATCTCAAACAATGTTGAGATGGACTTACTAGGTTCCCTGTCAGACTCATTCTCTTCAAATGCATTGGCCATTGTACCGACTACACCTTCTACTGCTACATTTGAAGTTGATCCCCATGCGAACTCTAGTTCTACAACCACATTTACGGCAACTCCGCCAGCATCTAATGTTATGAATCAGGTAGGCATTTTTTGTTATTAAAAGAGTTTCTCAAGTGACATCCTTCTTGGATTAAAAGTGTTCTCCTTCAATGCAGTCATTTGAAGATCCATTCGGTGACTCCCCCTTCAAAGCTCTCCCTTCCAGTGAGACGGTCCAACCTCAAACACACACTTCCACGTCCACAGACTCTTTCCCACCAACTGTGAACCAGAGTGCAGATACAGCTTCCAACTTTCCCTTTGGGGATTCATTTTCTGCTGCAAATTATTCGTCATCTGGTGTTTCCAGTGTTCAAACTCCAACAAACTCACAATTTACGTCTCAAGAACAGTCTACTGAAAACATGGATATTCTTGCTGATATTTTGCCACCTACTGGACCTTCACAGCAGTCCTTTTCAGGTCCAACAGGTCAACATCCACAGCCAAGTGCTAATATGTATGGGAATTTTCATGTGCAGCCAGGATCTGTAGTCCCTCATAATCAAACTGGATTTGCTGGACAATACAGCAGTGGGGGTTTTCCGTCACAGGGAGGGCCTACAGCTCCCATCACTTCACATGGGGCTCCTCAAACTCCAACAGGGCCTACTGCACAGTTTAACAATGGAAATTTCATTCCACAACAAGGTGGGTTTTCAGCTCCCAACAGCGGAAACTATTTTTCACAACAGGGAGGTTACATGGCTCCTCATGCTCATAATGGACCGGCTGCACAACTTAATGGTGGGAACTTCCATCCACAAGGGAACTTCCATCCTCAAGGTTCTGTCGGCCCAGTAGCTTCACAGGCCACTACTCAAATTCCACCTGGACCAGGTTTGCAACATAATAGTGATGTTCTGGGCAACCTTTTATCACAAAAAGGACCAAACACCTCAATGGGTTCCCAGCAACCGCTGTCATCATCAACAGGGGCACTTGCTATAGTTGCTCAACCACCTAAAGACAGCAAGTTTGAACCGAAGTCAGCAGTTTGGGCTGATACACTCAGCAGAGGCCTAGTTAATTTAAATATATCTGGAGGTGAGTGCTATGTCTCTTCTTCAACTTGTTAATTAACGGTCTATGTTTTTTTAGGGTTCTATAACGGCTTTTGTTTTGTTTTTTTCACGTGCAGCTAAAATTAATCCATTGAATGATATTGGAATTGATTTTGATTCCATTAATCGGAAGGAAAAGAGGATGGAGAAGCAGCCGGCAACTCCTGCAACATCTACTATTAACATGGGTAAAGCCATGGGATCTGGTTCTGGAATTGGCCGTGCAGGTGCAAGTGTTCTTAGGGCTCCACCAAACGCGATGATGGGTTCAGGTATGGGCGGGGGGATGGGTCCGGGCATGGGAATGGCTATGGGTATGGGTGGGGGTCCAGGTGGAGGTATGGGCATGGGTGGCTACGGTGGCACGAATCAACCCATGGGTATGGGGATGGGGATGAACATGGGAATGGGAATGAATATGGGCATGGGGATGCAAGCGCAAACCGGATTACCTCCTGGTTCAAACATGCCTCCCGGCTATAACCCCATGATGGGCGCAGGTGGTTATCCTCAGCAGCCATATGGCGGTGGCTACCGATGAAATTGATGAAAGTAAGTCGATACATATTTGATTTGAAACAAAAGTCGTGTAATTTTTATGTGGGGATGTGATGTATCTCTGTAACTCCGCATTTCGTATGGGTCACAAGAGAGTGTTCTCCTATATAGGTGCATTGCCTGGCTGGTTTGAGCAGCTGTTGTCTTGTTTGTGTAGTGTTGGGGATAACCCGTCTCAGGTTATCGTTTCGGTCCTTTTTTTATCGGAGATATATATTCTTTTTGCCAGATTGTGTAAACATTTATCGCGATGTTTGGCTACGAACACAAACGAATAAGTTTTGATTCATTCTACAACCTTCTCTTTTTGTATGCCGGTATGAGCAAAACAGGAGAGATGCGATTGACGACGTTGGAAGGGAAAAACGTACAACATCCGAAATGGTCGAACGAGAGTTCATGGGAACAATGAAACAACCTAGTACGAATCAATCTCTGTCAACTTGCTCAACGTTAGAAACTTCAAAAACAATGTCCTCCCTTTGGTCTCGGCGGTGCATCGAAGCCGGGATTGAGGTCTCTGTCACGTAATCGCGTCTTGAAGGAGGAAATCTGCGGCGTAATCGCAGTGAACGTAGAGTCAAACGACGCACTCTTACCATTTGAGTGGTGAAAAAGTGCAACCGTTTGTCAAAACAATCCCCGCAATCTAAATAACGACGTGTTAGTGAGCCTAATGTACGTTTTTAGTAGTTCACGAAATGGTTATCAAACGTGTTAGTGAGTACAAAAAATGTTTCAAACAAACCAAGCAGTTCGTAAACAAAGCCGTTATTCAATTGACTCCGAAAAATGGAGTCCAAACCCCAAATTGTATTTGTTCGTACTAAAAAGGTAGAAGAAATGCACACAACATATCAAAAGAAATTACATCGCAACTTTAATTTACAATCTATCGAAAAGAAACTATTCATCCGATTAAATTGATCAACTTGTATACGAGAAAAAAGTACGAATCCTCTAGCTTGTTTATGCTTAAAATAGTTTATCAAACTTTGTACATCACCGCCGATTTCTGTGGCCGAGTTTCGGTCTGAATTTGTTGGTCTTAACCCTGCATCAATCATACAAGTAAAAACGCTTATTCCATGAGTAATTGGTTCATGTAATTGGTATTTTTTTCTACCCAATTCGAAAAATTCTTTCAGATAATATGCAATAAAGCGTCTTAAGAGGATCGTTCATGTTACAGAGAGAATACTTTGAGCATTTTTTTGGTCAACATACCTTTAGCATTATGCTTGTAAGACTTCTACTTCTCTTGGATTCACTCTAGAAAAACTTGAATCCTATCACCAATTGTGTCATTAAAATCTAGCAGCAGCTTCCCTCCCATTTCATCAGTTGCCTCGTTTAGCAGTTGTTTGATGTTCACACCCCCGAGAGCTGTTGGAAAAACATGTGGAGTTTTAATTACACTACAAGGGACTACCGGTCTGGAGCAATTACCTATTTCAATAAGTTTGGAGAGAACATGAATAATACCTGGAACTATATTTGTGATTCCTTCCAAGAATCCAGCCTGTAAAAATTTATAACCAAAACATGAAAGCGGGTTTTCATAAGTCGGAAATAACATGACTAACATGTAAATGACGAATATATACAATCATATCAAAGACGATCCCAGATGAAGAGAGACGAAATGAAGTGAAATTCACTTGCTCAAGTGTTTTTTTTTCCTTCTTTCATGAATACTCGTAACAGCATTGCGACCATGCTGTTTCGCTCCAGTAACTGCCTGGTCACATATCTAGCACAATACCATCTGTGAAATGGTAACTCTCTAATCATATTGTAACATAAGGTGAATCTCTGCTTCACCATCTGCTCACCAAATTTTTGGGAGGATATTATTTTCGGAACTCTTTAACACTATCTGTTTACCAATTCTTTCCTTGCGAACCTATCATCACAACACCGTAGGGATTCTAACGATTAAGAATGAAGACAAACTTAGGATTTTCAATAAGGTTGGTGGGGCACCTATTCCAAAAGTCTTACAATCTTTTCTCCTGGATAACAGTGGAAGCACTGTGAATGGAATGCTATGCCCATAAAGAATAGAAGACTTACAGGAATCCGAACATCAAGTTTCTCAAAGCCATCCCTTCCAGTTATTTTGACCCTCAACGTCCGAGACCAGATCCCAGAAAATGGACCCCTGGAACCATCTGCATCATAGTTATTGTACACGTCAGGTGTTATAACTTCAACAATGGGATCTTGAGGATTCTGATCTTTCTGCTCTCCACCATCTCTAGCGGTCCTTTGGAGACTGTATACACTACTGGTCACTGGAAAATAACCTTCATGTATAAGCACTATGAAACGAAAATGCTCATCTATATCTATAAAATTTTGGTTGGTACACAAAAACTTGAATGGAAACAAGTTGAAATTTATCTTGCATAGGGCCATTTATCCTTTTATAGTATCCAGATGTAACCCAATTTGTTATGTTAGTCCAATTTTAACCCAGTTTTGATAAAAGTAATCAACTTTCATCAAAATGCGGGGAAAGACGGTAGAGGCCATTTGATAACAAATTATCATCAAGGTAAGCAATAATGACATATCTACAACTCATGTGACTATACAAGTTACTCACATCTTTCTGGAGATAGCTGACTGCTGCTGGTAGAATACCGTTTTTCTTCTTCATAATAACTGTTGAAACCTAGAATCTCCTTAACCTCTTCGAAGGATGGCATACTTCCAGGAGGAGGGATGCGGCCTCCTTTGAGACCAGCCAGTGCTTCCTGCAATTGATTCATATAAGTTCCTTCCTTAAATAGTATTCTAAATAATGAATTCTGGGCAAGTAACACTTCTAAAAAGCATAGGGAAACACACTGTTTGCTTTAACTTAGATTGTTGACAGAATGGTGAAAATTCCTTTGATATTCTTAGGGCTTGTAACCAAAAAAAGGGTAAATCCAACATTATATTGTAAAAAGTTTCTTTTCTATTCAATTTTCAAGAACTACGAGTTTACAATGAGAAATGTCTTTGTTCGCTGCTGATGTGTTTTCGGTTTTGATTCTTGAATCATATCATTAACTCATGCAAGAGTGGAGAGATCAATAGTCATAACTATATCAAATCTTTATAGCATCATAATTATAGGGTGTCAAGATAAATGACCTTTTCTCTTGATGCTGTACTTTATTTAAAAGAAAAAGGTGTAGGCACGCTACCTGCATTGCTTGAATAGATACCCCAATCAAGGAAAGCGGATAAGCCACAATTTTATACCCAACATCCTCAAGTTCAAGTGGGTTGAGTATTGGCGTTTTGCCTCCTTCAAGCATATTAGCCTGATAGAACATGGAGATTTATCAATCACACCAAATTATTCTCATTTTTCAACAATGCCTCTGAAGTTACAAATTGAGCCACATGATTCTTAGATTATTAATTGACATACCATGATATGCATACATCACATATATCCATCCCCATGCAGTGCAACATATATAAAACTAAATGCTGTTTCTAGTACCATAAATGGAAAAGACCTCTACAAAGAACTCTTGTTCATGCTATAGGCAATATCTCATACAATACCTGTGTGTCACTTAACCATACTATCTGCACAAAAAATGTTCAATTACGTTCTGCTATTAAAAATAATAATAAATAGTCATCGACCAAAAAGAGTAATGAAAGTGGCCGTAGTCAGATATTCACTCCAAAACCAGAAATTTCAACCACAGTAGTATCACAACTCGTGAACATGTGGCATCCCATCAGTTTTGAGTTTTAACACCGTATAAACAACTAATAAACAGAAACCAAAGACCAAAGAATGAGTATACTAGGAAGCAAAGTGACACCTTAGTACACCTTAGTATACTAGGGCTCCAGTCGGAACATAACTCGGAGTCTTTGTCAAATTACATGTTCTGAAATATAACTTGGATTCATTAAACAAAAGCTGTAACTTTTTGTTTTTATTAACAAAGAAAATTTTCAATTATAGATATAATCGAGGTTTATATTCTGCAAATTTTAAGGGTTTACCATACCATTACTGAGGACAGTTTCTGAATTCACCAACAAAATACAACCTACTACAAACAGCTTATCCTCAGATGAACTCAGGATCATGCACAAGAATAACTAATCTACGGCTAGCCATATTGGGTATACAAATGTAGAAAAAGAAACGTGACAAAATCCAAGTCTTTGACAAATGTTATGTACCATTTTTGGAAGTAAGGGAGATATCCCACAGAAAGCCTTCATCTCTTCTTTAGAAGCAAGTGCGTCAATGAAAAGAACATCTGCACCAGCATCAGCAAATGCCCTTGATCTCCAGAGTGCTTCATCCAAAGACACTGCTTGACGAGAATCAGTTCTTGCTACAATGACAATGTCAGAGCCGCTCTCTTTCCGAGCATCAACAGCTGCTCTTATCCGCATTACAGCCTCCTCTCTTGACACCACTTTCCTTCCTTGCGTATGACCACAAGCTTTTGGAGAGACCTAAAGACGACAGTTTTGTCAGTGATAGCTGTCTCAAACAGGGACAAGATAAATGAATTTATAATACTTAGCAAAATAAGTAAAAAGCTAGTCAATTACAAATTTAAGCAAATGATGATAAGGTGTTTCAAATAGGTCAAACCAACCACAAAGAAATACGAAGTAACATACTTCGCATACCAATATGAAATCACATCATGTAAACCAATGGGAATCAAACACATGTTTTTTGTCATTCCGACCATCAAGTTACCCTGTCTCGAGAGGACACCGATTCCATAAAAGATCTCTTTGGACAATCAACAGTTTCAATATTTTAAACCTAACATTATGCTTGTAATGCTTCTCTAAAGATTAACTGAGGAAACAAAAAGGAATGTACGAGGAAGAAACTATTTTATAAAAAAAATTCCTACTTAGTTGGACCAAAGTTTTAGTATAACTTATAGAAAGATACGAGGTATTGTTTATTCATTTTAACCCGGCCACTTGAGTAAAGTAATAAAAATAAAACCTTTACACTTGCTTTTCAACAAAAGATTCAATTTTCTATTCTGTTAGCAGAATTCTGATCCAATTTCTTTGATGGACAGTAGGGTTTTATTCTTTGTAAATCTTCACTATAAGGAAAATAAATAAATCAGGCTTAAGAACACAAAAAATCAGTAACTATAAAATCTTTGGGTAGACATGACTATAAACGTAGGATTGGGAAACATGAAGAAATTTCCATAAAAAGAAGCAAACCCAATTTAAACCTTAATTACTCTCCAATCTACTCCCACCTCCTCCCTATCCCAAAGTTCCTTGCCAGTTCCACCATTGGTTAATTTAAAAAAGTAACAGCAACAGTTATTGAGAGTGAGAGTGTGTGTGTGTGTGTGTGAGAGAGAGAGAGAGAGAGAGAGAGAGAGAAGATGAAGAAAACAGGAAATATTCATGGATGCAAAAGTTCAATTCAATAGTATAACTATAACCTGATCTTCAAGCAAAATCCCAGCAAAACCAGCTTTAATGTATCCCTTGACAGTTCTCTTCACATTCATTGCATTCCCATATCCATTATCACCATCACCGATAACAGGAATTGACACAGCTTGGGTAATTTGTTGCCCCTGATCCACCATTTCTCCATAGGATATAAAACCTGTATCTGGCAACGCTAATCTAGCAGCCGATATTGAAAATCCTAATGGAAGAATAAAAGGGGCAGTAATAAGCTTGTTTTAGAGTTTGAGGCACTTAAACATGAAGATACATCAGAAAAATGGACCAAGGATGCAATAACACAACTGCAGTTGCATGAACTATATTTTTTTATAAAGAGCATACAAACATAGATACAAGAACATACAAAGGGAACAAATTGCCATCCACGTATTGCACAACAGTTAATTACCAAATATCTAGAATAGATAAGATCTTAAGAAACAACAGTCTGTAAATTCACACAAATAACAAAAGATGACGTATGATTTTTATGTTTGAAATACTTTAGAATCTTACCATTTTTCTTCTTTGATTAAACAACTTTCATTTCAATTTCTTCATGTTAGCTTTATTGTTGTAATACTACTCGGTGCACCAATGCTGAAAAATTTTCATTTCAATATACCTTGCAACTGCACCCTCCCAAACCTTTTACAAGTAATGGTATCAATAACAACGAGTATATACAATCAAGACAACTCCCAGAGTCTCACAAGAAACATGTCAAGCCAAACCCAATCAAACCCACATCAAAAATTGCTTCAAACTAAAGTCACTACAATCAAACGATGTAATTATGTCAACATCTACAAGCAAGGAAGAAAACCCACATCAACAAATTGAATAAATAAATAAAACATCATATACCGCTAGTGAAGCAGCACTGAAAGCCAGCTCTTTCCACAAGCTTGGCACTCAGAGCATCAAAACAAGCAGGGGCCTGGACAACCCCTGGCAACTCCAGAATCCGACGGAGCTCTTTGGCCGGAGACTCGGGGGCCAATTCTCTGTCTCCTCCGGAGTAAGCTGCGGTGGTTTGGAGGGCCGCCCTTTTGGCAGTGAAAGTGGTGTGTTTGAACTTGTGGGGCAGTGAAAGTGGTCGCTGTTGATTGAAATGGAGGGCTGACGATGACCCAAATGGGAGATTTGAAGATGCGGTGGTGGGATTGATAGAGGCGGAGGAGTTGTGGGGGAGAAGAGAGACAGTGCTGCTGCAGTTTCTGCTAAGCAACACCTGATGCTGTGGATTCATTTCAATGGCTTGTTGCTGTGTCTCTGTGTGTGTTCAAAGTTATCAAAGGCGTTATAACTTATGACAACACACACTGAGGGGGTTTCTGTTCACTTTCTTGCTCCAGTTATGTCTCATCTTGTCTTCTCTGGAGCAACTTGTATGATACGGGAGACGTTATTACGGTAGCAACTGATTATCAACGACTGAAGAATACGGAGAGATAAACTAACATGTATTTTTGCATTAGTGACATGAAATTTCATCGTGAAAATATACTCGGATCATACTAATTCTTGTATTAAGGTAGCGTCCTATTATCAATGATAGAAGAGCGCATGGAGATAAACTAACACATATTCTTATATTACAAATATCAAATATCACCGTGAGAGTATACTCGTGTCATACTAATCCATGTATACGTGGTGGCAATGTCCACGTCACATTTTAGCAAGAAGGAAGTAGAGCAAAACCTCTCTCAGTATATTCTATAAGGAATAATCTCGTCATAAGAAGTTTTGGTCCCAACTTAGAACCAGTTATGTGTATGAATAAACTTCACATTATAATAAGTTATAATTTTTCTTGGTCCCATTTTGAGAAAATATAGCTCCACACAGTAATCATTGATTTTTTCCCTTTAAAATGGAGACAACTTGTGGCAAGCCACGGTTATCCATCATTTCCAAGGCCCAGAGAGGCTATGGGAAATTTCATCATGTCCGTGGCCACAGTCAAGTAGACCCATCAGCTTGGAGCATCGAACCTGAGACCTTCCACATTATTTTGTTTATTGGGGAATCGCAGTCTGCGCCCTTACAACTGGACCACTTGATGTGTTTACACAGTATAATTGTTAATAAGTACAAAAATATGTAATATCACAAATAAAATTTTAAGATGAACTAAAATATTTCTCTAAGGTTGTTTGGAACAATGCTTTAGTTTTTAGAGTTGATGTCACGTCTTTCAATTTGCTGGTACGTAATATTTTGTCAACATGATAGAATGTCAATTAAACTTTTAGTGATGTTATTGTTAGTTGATGAAAATTTATGATTTTGAAGTTGCAGTGGTTGAATGTTGATCGAATAATTGGTGATATTAAAAGTTTTTATCTTCAAATGATCCTTGAAATTTGCTTATTTCGGGCGAGTTGAAAACCCAGAAAAAGGGGAGGAATCCACCAGTTCTTCAAAACCCAGTGACCAATTTCCGGAAACATGCATCTTCAAGTTCTCTTCTCCATCAACCTCTTCACAGGCTCTCCTTATCCTCGTCAAGCAACTGTTATTTTAGGGTTCGCCGCCGTACGCGTCGGTTTTTATTTTCCTCGGCAAATAAGGAGGAATTCCGGTTGCCACCACAAGATCACAAGAACGAGGAGAGGAGAGGTCGACCGGAAAATCAAGGGAACCGGGGAAGTTTTAGGTTCCAAATACTTTGATGTACGACCAAGAAAGACCAAATAACCAACAAGAAATCGAGTTTTGTTTTTCGGGCAAAGGTTCAAGTTGTGACTAGAAATTCAATTTGAATTATTTCGAAATCTTATTCTACATCTCCTAACTGAAAAAAGGGAACTCCAAACGGAAACCGGCTACTAAAACTGGCTAAACTGATGCCGCCCTGCGATAATGTTACCCGAGATTAAGTATACAGGGATCTCTTGTTCGACTCGAAAGGAAAAATAAAGAGAGAGTATCTTGCCGGCAAGAATGATGCAACAGCATTGGTCCTGCACTCTACTCCCCGACAGTCAACCCAAACCCGAATTTGTAGTCTTTCTTTCTGTGATCAATCTGCGAGGCATATATTTTCGCACTTGTCAAGAGAGAACTGGCAAAGCAGGGTTTCGTTAACTGAGAAGAAAAAAGAAAACGTTGCTAAATCCTCACCTCTGCAGAAAGAACAAAATTAAGACCCATATTTAGTCGCTCTTCCAAAAATGCAGCTACGGTGCCATTGGAATCAATCTTTCCTCTAAGACGGCACTGCAACAATTAAAAATAATAATAATTAGTCAAGAAGAGTGTCAATACTTACAAATTCATATCTAAGAAACCACTATTCGAAAGAAAAAGAGAAATAACCCAATCTGTTAAGGCTTCCAGGTTCTAGATGAATAGGAATTGATTATGGTTTACGGTTGACAAGGCAGTGTATGGTGAGTTTTACATGCATGGACTGCATATGTACATAAAAAAAATTATGTAGCCAGACAGAATCTGAGTCGGGATCAAGGTCTGCATAGAATCAACAGGCCATAATGTCCGAGAAATCATGCTTCATGAAATTGTTTACCGAATAGGTGGTCACATCCTCCAACAGCAATCAGATACCACTGGTTGTGTAACCGTACCATACTATGCATATAGTGACCACAGCATAAGAACTAAGAAGAAGAAAAAGAGAATGTCTATTTATTTCAATGAAATATTTGAACATTAACAATTCGAAAGCTACCTGTCGAAGAATGTAATCATAACCAAAACTAGCTGTGACATCTCTTGACATGTAGTTGTACATGAAATCTGATGCAAGAGAAACCTTCAAGGAAGAAACACTATAAGAAAGAGCTTGGATAAATCATGAAAAATAAAACTGCAGAAAGATACTCCAACAACATAAAAAGTAAAATATGTTCAACCATAGATCAACTTTGCTCACCTTATCAGAAACCTTTTGTACATAGCTAAGAGCAACCATTCCAGTGCTAGCGACTTGCCCTGTGGCAACCTGGGGGCGCAAAGACGAGTTGGATTAAGGTATGGATCACACAACAGTTACTCGAGTCAAAATCTCCTATTAAAACAATCAGCCAGGAAATATATAACAAAATCCCGTGGAATATGTTCTGGAGCTGCCCAGTCATACAACAGTTGGAATACTCCCTACTTAGGTTCATTCAGTATACAAGCCGAGGTTCACCTTCCAAGGTTCAACATCTTGGGCTTTAAAATCTTATGACCCTATATCACCTTTGTTAATAGAACAGGCCTCACCGGAGATGGTTATTGGTTACTGCCATGGAAAAATGTTGGCCATGTGCCCTTAACAACTAATAAAGCAGCTAAGAAGCTGAAATCCATTTATAACATTCATGAAGTACCAAAGATGATTATGAAGACCAATTAGCAATATTAGGTCTCAAGTTGTTTTGTAATTCTTTGCTTTCTGTTTTGTTTTGAAATTTCCTCCAAGAATTAGGGTGTGCTGCAATTTTGAGTTTTTTTTTCTTTCGGGAGTGGACTACTTGTTTTTTATCAATGTGGCACAAATTTTGTGGGGCCTGCAAGGTCCACATGAGGAGAAAACAGTGAAACTAACAGAAATTGAGACGGATGTATGAAATTGGTATGTGAGACATTGGTATGAAATTAAAAAAAAAAATTGGAAGACGTATGAAATTGAAATTGAAATTGGACGAAAAGTTGAGGGGGGAAAATGTGATTTACCCAAAATCAAAAATAAAATTATTAAGGTCTCACGCAAATGCAAATCGAAAATGTGTGGAATATGAGGTAAGCAATACATACATATATACATATAACTTTTTATTCTATTCTACTTCAACCTCAATGCCTTCCCATATGGACAGCCAGACCCTGTGGTTCTCAAAAGTTTGAACTAAAGTGTAATGCTGACTTGAACTTCATGAAAATATTAGCATTAGTTTTAATGTGCGGGATATTTGCCGCTTTTCCTCTAGAATAGAGACCATGAGGCTGCAACATGGACAATCCTACTATTACTTGACAACTAGTTAGTTTCCCTTATTTCCAATTATTTCATCAAATCATTGTTTTAACCAACTCTTACAACCTTAAGAGTTTCATAAGATTAATTTTGAAAACTAACATTGCAATCAAAATGAGCTACAAATATAAATTTCACTTCAAGCAATACTTTTCCCTCTTTATTCCCTTTAGTTAACTGCATACATTGAACTTAACAAAATCAACTTTAAATCTGAAAAATGAAAAAAATTTCATGATGTTTTAGCTTTACCTAAACAATTGTGGCATTCATCTAAAACAAAGAAGGTACTTGGAAAAAGAAACAATAGTGAGAAAGCATGCAGTTAACTACTGATATACATTCTAGATACATGAATCTTGATGCATGCCCTTTCTGGTGCCAGAATGTAACAAATTAATATCTTATTTGCAAGAATTAATGAGTAAACAACAGTGGGAATCAATTAAAACATTATGTCGCATATTCAGGAAGTTATAATTTAAGGGTTCAAGAAGTATACCATCTTTTCTGTGTTATACCGAGCAGCATAGCCAATACCAGACTTCCGATGCTGACCAGCCCAGAACACTTCACCGCCCAAAGCGAGATGGGGGGTCACACTCTGAAAATTAATAAGCACTCAAAAGATTGGTGAAATGCACTAGGTAAATCAATAAAAAATCCCACTTTCAAACTTTCACAGAGAGAAGAAGATGTGTCATTGGCATGAAGGCAACAAAATATGCTTATCACTAAGAATTTAAATGGAACAATCAATTACAGAGAAAAACAATCCAGAATACATAATAAATGCCACTATAAATCATAATACGTGCCACTACCAATTGGAAGATGACAAATTTTGAGTCAATACTGTAATTATCTTATATACTTACATTTATTGCTCCATTTACCTTTGGTTCATGCTCAAATTAAAATCAAAGGGCTTTAATGGCTAAAACGGTTTTGGCAAAATCTTAGGAACTGTTATTAGCACACTAAAAAGTCATCCTGCACTTGAAGTGCAATTTCTCCCTTGGATTGCAAGATGACCTTTTTGGAGTGCCAATAACAGCTTCCACATCTTAATAGATTTATAGAAATGATAAAAGCTGGGAAAACGAAGAAAATGATAAATAAAAGCAAGTAAACAAGCAGTTATTAATAATTGGCAAAAAAACATGGTCATCACATAGTTAAATATGGTCAGGGGAGGAACAAGAAAATCTTACTCGGTTAAATATGGTAATCAAATACCAGGGTTGATCTCCAACATGATTACATTAATACATTAGTATAATTAATACAGATTTTTACATTTCTGCCTTTTTGTATTAAGTGCTTTCCCAAAACGTTGTGAAATACACAATCCATATAAAATAAATATAAGAACAACTTTTTTCTTCCTTGAGAGGTGACAAGAAAAAAACCTATCAAATAGCGATTACATAAAACAAAACAAAACAAACAAACCTATCAAATAGCAAAATTACACAAAACAAAACAAACAAACAAATCTATCAAATAGCAAAATTACAGAAGCTTTGCCAATTAACACAGATTTACAAGAAAAAAATACTCTTCAGAACTCCAAAGATACAGAAGCCCAGAAGGAGAACAAAAAATGGACCCTCTTACATTAAGGAAACCTTGTAGAATCCATTTGGCAATAATTAATATATGTAGATTAGCCAACAATAAGTAACTTATCATGATATGAAATTTTGTTTTTGTCATAAGCTAATGAAAAGGTTAAACACAGAATATGTTGTCCAATATTTTACCTGAATGTAGTTTGCTCCAAACAGTGCACCATTTCCTAGTTGAAACTGTGACCTGTAATCTTTTCCCTGTGCAGAGGAAGTCAATGTTGGGCATAAATAAATAAAAAATGATTAGAAAATTAATTACAAAGTGGTTAGCTCAAAATACATGACAAAAATCAATAACTGTGTTATCCTTTTGGGTTCCAGTTGTTGAAAAAATTAGGGAAAAAATATAGATGGGAGGAGGGGAGTCTAAATCTCTTCTTCTCAAAGCTCTTGTTCTTAATCTCTAAAGCAGATCAAAGATCAATCCAATCGATCCTAATAGCCTGTACTTAATATCGTGGTTTTTTTTTTCAATACAGTGGACAAGGAGTCCAAATTGAAGCCAAAACACCACAGACCTACTTTACCATAAAACTTCATTAAGAAACAATTAAGACACAAATGCCTTACAATCTAGAACAGTAGAAACAGAACACCCCCTAAATTCCATAGAAACAGATGACCAAATCAAATCCCAAAACCTAACTCTAGACTAGCGGTCATTCCCAAACCCCTACATACTCCTCGATTTACCAGCACAATAAATTCTCAAGGGGCTTTAGCCTTATTCCCATCACCAAAAGGTAAATTCTCAAAAGGGCTTTAGCCTTGTTCCCATCACCAAAAGGCTTATCACTTACCAGTGGATGCCGTAACCACCCAACTCACTGACCTCCATGCATAAATTCTACCATAATGTAGAGATATTGGAAAGCGCACAGATATATAATCCAAACACCTCCCCCTGCTTATACAAAATGCACCAATGAGGTGAAAATTGAAATACACCAATTTGCTTGTCTTTGTATCAAACTGCACATGTTAGCCCTACCATGAGCAAAATCCATGCAAGAAGCTTCCCCTTCACGGTGGTAGAAATTCTAGAACTGTGTCAAAGTGAGACATAAGTTTCAAATAAGACATACAAGTAGGATGCTGAAGACTCTAGCTTCAAACTTCTTGAAATCTGCTCATTTCAGTACTACCTCATTTAAGCACCTCCTAAATGTCTACAACCAAAATCCCAATTCACCCGTATCAAATGAAGCCAGTAAATGGTTCCATTATGGTACCTGGACATCAATAACATTAAACAACCAAGAAGGCAAGCTTCGAAAAAAGATCTCCCACCCAAACTCTCATTCTATCCACTCTACAAATTACCAGACAACAACAATATAAAAACTTATTCGACCCAATAAGCAACCATGAAACAATTTTTGAACCAACCAACTAGCAATCCGTATTACTGATTAATTTTCAAGAGTGAAAAGGGCATTGATGAAAGTTAAAAGGTTAACTTTGTCAATCACAGAAGAAATAATTAAAGAGGGCAACTGCTTCCAGCATAAGATGTTTCTTAGCTATTGGAAAAGCTACAACTTAGAGCTTCTCCACAAACAGTTCTTAGCTTGATTTGATACAATTGTCTCATTTCTATAACACATAAAGCATTTTTAGCTTTTGCATGAACCTAACATGAAGTTTCATTTCAAGTGCTGTGAAGCGACATAGTAAACAAAGAAAAGTGCCTTTATTACAGCAAAACTCTTACATTGCTGAAAAGGTTGTGCCAAACAGGTACTTAGAATTAAAATAGCTATATGAAAGTTCTTTCATAATCACTGCCATGAGAGAAGTTTAACCTCGTCTTGGTAGCAACACCATTATATAAAAGAAAATTAACTGAAAGATATTACAAAGTCAGCAACATACCTTGTAATCAAAATTGACCATGCCATGTGACATGTGAGGCTCGTTGGTAAGCTGGAAAGAAGCACAGAAAAGTTAACTAACTAACTTAGACATTACAGATTGTCGGCACAAACTTTGCAAATAAAAAAGGGGATAAAGCGCTTCAACAGTCTTCCAAATCACCTGAGAATTGGCCTTCAAAGTAAGATTCTCAGATAAATCGCACTTTACTCTTGCATTAAGCCTCCCATCAGTCATGATTCTCCCAAAAAGCATCAACTGCATGTTAGCATATGTTTAAATGAGAGTTTAAATTCATATTGCCATAGAAAAGTATCCGAAAAGATCAATTTCATAAGACAGTTAGTTACCTTTGGATCTATAAAGTTGGCACCAAACTCATAGTGAGCAGTGGGAATTTTAATAGTTTCGGGAGATTGTGAAGGAACCTCGGTAGGTCCCATGAACACGCTGATTGTTGGTTGTCAAAGGAGCGTTACGATTCAGATCAGTATCTAAATAATAAGAATTAAACGTAATGATGATGGGAATGAATTGGAAGTCTGATCAGACCTGTGACTGAGTGAGAACCTCTGATTGAGTCCTTTAGTGAAATCAAAGCGCATCCCCTCAAACAGTTCCGGCTTTAAAGACACTGCATACACGTACAAAATAATCCCGTCTTAGACTCAACACTCAAAGAGCACTTCTTTCCTTTCCAAGTAAACCCAAAAATAAAAAGTCATTCCCTTTGGTTTCTAAAATCGGGTGACGTAACATGAGCCACCAAAACGATAGCTAAAAGACCTAATACAATTGTATTTCTCCGAGAATTCATAATTCAAATATAAGATATATAACAGATTAATTCACAATAAAACTTTCATGAATTACATGTAAAAGAAAAACCCAGAAGAGCAAATGTTTAAACTTTAAATATTAACAAGAATAAACACAAATCTCCATAATTTGCACATCAAAAAACAATGCAAGATAAACTAGAAAGATAATGAAATATGAAAATAATGGAGGAAAGAGCGAGAGCGAGAGAGAGAGAGACTGACTGAGAGCTTCACGGTGGATCTCCTCGTAGGGAATAGGGCAAGGAAGATTCAAGTAATCCACTTTCTCATCCTCTTTCGGCTTCGGAATCGTATCAGCCGCGGCGGTTGGAGGAGGAGGAGGAACGAGGCCCGCCATTGCTTGTGCTCTGCCTTTCGTCGGCAACAATACTCGGAGAGAAGAAGAATGGCTATCGAGGATTCCGATCAAATCAGAACGAAGAGCCTGCAACTGGAGGGTTTCTAGTGGCAAAACCTCCAAAAAAGTCTAAAACCCTAGTGGGAGAGAGAAGCGGGTGTTTTGGGTTGAGGAACCAAATGGGCCGTTGGTGGCCGCGTTTTTGGGTAAAAAAAATAGGAACGCAGTAAAAAATAAGAAAACTAATGAAAAGGGTTTTAATAATACGGACAAAATAAAAGGTAAAGTGAATAGTACCAGAATTGACTTTTTAGTGTAAAAATGTGGTTTTTCGTTAAAGTAAACAGTACCGGGTGCTTTTCGTTAAAGTTCCCTAAAAAATAATGGGGCTGATTGCTATGGTAAATTTGGTATAAAAGTAATTAATTCTATTGGCACAAGAGCATCACTGATCTTTTTTTTTAACAAACGATATTATCTACATTAAAGGTAAGTGGATAGGCTTAGCCTCACAATGGGCTAACAAAAATGTGATTCAAATTCACCATTGGCAATAATCGAACCTAAGACCTCTCACTTACAAGTGAAAATGAATATCACTAAATTGTAGTACTAAATGGCAAAAGGACAAGGGTGACAGAAAACAAACAATATTATCTACATGGGGTGGGGGGTGGGCTAAGTCTCACAATAGGCTAACAATAATGCGGTTATATTTGTCTTTGACGAGAATTGAACCTCAAACTTCTTACTTACAAGTGAAAAAAACTATCACTAGACCGTAGTACTAAGTGACTGCTTTTCGTTTTTTATTTTTTAATGAAAATAATTTAAAGGGCACATTTTTTGTGTTGCCCTAGGCTTAAAAAATCTCAAGATCGACCCTGCCAATTGGGCCAAAGTTCATATAGCACTTGCACCCTTAAAAAATCACATGGGCAATAGCCAATTCAATCCTCGCAAGTGAATAGTAATTGCTCAAGTATATCTCCACTTTTAAACTGAATAACCTAGGCTATTGGTATTAAAATATTTTTTATCTATTTATAAAACTATAAATAAAATATTTTTAATTTTGGATAATAACAAAAAATTGATTCAAATTATTTGAAAATATTGAAATGTGATGTACAACATAGTTAAGTATTTATATGAATTCTTTTTATAAAATATAAATTATTCATTTTTTTGTATTTGTAATTAATTATTTATAACTTTTAATTGTGCTCCCATCAGTGTCAACCTTGTTCCACATGGTCTAGGGCCTGGGGTAGTTCATTTTTGCCTAGGCGAGCAACTGAGCTACTCCAAGGCAGCGGCGAAGCCAGGAATTCACGGAGGGAGGGGCGAAGTTAAAAGATTGCAAGGTTCAAAAAAATAGCAACAATCAAATTCTTTTATATAGTATGTCTTCCATAATTTATCAATAAAAACAAATTAAAATTGTTGCTTGCGAGGTTTCATATCATAAAAACGTCGCATAATAGGCTCATTATCAATAAAAGCAAATACATCTCTTTCAATATAAATAAACATGCTATCACTTAATCCTAGAGTAGGACTACCCGAAATGTTTGAAGGAGGAGGAGGACCACTTGGAATATTTGAAGGAGGAGGAGGACCCGAAATGTTTGAAGGAGGATTTAAGCATTGTTTCTTATAGTATCGTTCAATTACATTACTGTAAAATGGAGAGGAAAAAAAAAATTTAGATTCTTAATCCTATAGTAGACTATACTAATATGCATAATTATTAATCCAACTTAATCAATACCAATGAGCATACAAATTATTCAATAAATAAATATTCAATTCAACTAATCATATGAATAATTGTATAATCAACTAATTAATCAATAATCAAGAATTCAAATTTTAATTTTCACCCTAAAAAATAATTTCATAATTTTATATCAATAATCATAGAATCATATCAATAATCAACAACCATATTATTGCATTACCAAAAGATTATATACCAATTAAACAAAATTCATATTAAATAATTAATTAAGATTATGGATTATAAATTTAAAAATTAAAAATTTAACCTTTGAAGGTTGGAAGCCGACGGCTTAGCGGTTGAAGAAATGGAGAGTGGCTGGTGCGGCAAGGAAAAATGCCAATGGGAATTTAAAAAAAAAAAAATTCTTCTGTTACTGCTGGGGTTTGAGGGGGCAACTTTGCTCTGCTATTGTCTATGATTGGCAGAAAGATTGAAAAAGAAAAGGGGATGGAACACGACACTGAGACTCTGATTCCAAACATACGAAACGGTGCCGTTTCACTTATTTTTTATTTTATTTTTTACCAGGACCAAAACGACGTTGTTTTGGCCTGGGTGTTTTAAAAAAAGGGCAGTCTGCATATCACCATCACCACCGAGACAGACAATGAGGGTTGAACTGAACTACTGAACCAGTGGGTTTTCCAGCGAGGGGAAGGACTGACCCAGAGTTTCAGTCCTGTTTTCCGGCGAGGGGAGTGGCGGCCGCCACTCCTCGCCCTCACGTGGCTTCGCCACTGCTCCAAGGGCAAGTGAATTGGAAACAGTTAGAGGAGTTTTTTTCTGAACAATCGATAGTTATCTACATTAAGGGAGTGGGAAGTGGGTTAAGCTTTCCGATGAGCTTGCCATAATAATGTGTTTAAAATGCCTTTGACGAGAATCGAACCTAAGACCTCTCACTTACAAGTAAAAAAGAATACTACTAGATCATAGTACTAAGTGGCATGCTAGAGGAGTTTTAGGGAATGAGATTTAGTTCACTATCTCCCAGGAGATTGGTGCATTTGTTGCACTAGATTAGTTCAAATTGGACTAGTTTCATGGACTAAACTAGATTGTCTTAGCTTGGACTAAGCAGTATTAAAGTTGTGAAGCGTTTTGTGTAGTGTCAGATTAAGACTAAATTTTAATTTTTTAAATTTAATTATAAAAAACTAAATTTCACATTCTAATCTAAATAATTAAATTTAGATCTCCTCCATTTTTTTTTCTTTTACTTTTTAAATTGATGAACTTCAAGATAATCATGGTAATTCTAATATATTACAAAAAAATAATAATAATTAAGTTCATCAATTTCACTTCTTCACACCTCTCCATCTCTCTTCATTTGCCATGGCCTTGCTAATCCCATCATCATCCCAATTATGAAAACAAATAGTTGTATACCTGTTTTCTCCTACCGATCTGCAAATTCGAAGCAAGCCACGACACCCACCCTCCTCCTCCAACCACGATTTAGCAACCGTGATTTGCAAATATGTTTCCTCTTCTTCTAGCATTCTCTTCGAAGCACCCAATTCTCATATCAATCCAATAGAGAGAGAGAGAGAGAGAGAGAGAGAGAGAGAGAGAGAGAGGATACTTGTTCTGGATGAAGCTCACTCAATGATCGATGGCTTTGACGAAGAACAATACTTGGCTCTCACCAGTTCACGCGAAGGAGGCGTAGTGAGAGAAGGCAGCGTAGTGAGGTTCTTAGCAATACCTTGCTTTCGTGTGGGACTAATTTAGGCGACTTAGTGAGGTTCGGAGTCCACACGAGTCTGAGCTAATCCCATTTAACTTAGTCTCTTGCTATACCAAACATGGGTTATTAGTCCTAGCTAGTCCAGTGTAAAACCCCCAGTCCAATTTAGTATTTATCTACTTTCACAAGAATAAAAGAGACATAGTATTTGTCACTTAGTACTATAGTTTAGTGATTTTTCTTTTCACTTCTAAGTGAGATGTCTTAAGTTTGATTTTCGTCAAAGACGAACTTGAACCATATTATTGATTTTTCTCTTCACTTGTAAGTAAGATGTCTTAAGTTTGATTCTCGCCAAAACGAACTTGAACCACATTATTGCTAATCTATTGTAATGCTAAGCTCCACCCCTCTCCTTAGTGTAGGTAATATCATTTGTTCAGAAAAGAAAAAAAAAACATAATATTTATCTAAATTATTGGCATCGGTACATCTATTTCTCATAAGAATTCCCCATCAATTACTGCCATGACAATTCGAACTAATTTAACTTAAAAATCATATAAGATGCATCCCAATCCCGAACAGTGGGAACAGACATTCGTACCGTGCGGAGCGCTCCAAGCCGCAGTTGACGAAAGAAATTTATCCCTGTTCGTTGGTCGTTGGTTAGGAAAATTGACCAAAAAAATCATGTCAGAAAATAAGACTGAAAACGGCTAAAAAAAAAAAAAAAACAAAGGAAAAACAGAGAAAGTAATTGACTAACGCCGGGACATGACTTTTCAACAAGTGCCCGGTTCTGGTGCTGGCAACTGTTTAAGACTGCAGAATTCTTCTTTCTTAGCATTTTGATTTTCCTGATTGCAATCTCTCTATCTTTCTCTCACCGGAAACCATGGCTGCTCCGATGAAGATTGTATTCGGGCTGCTAACCTTTGTCACTGTCGGAATGATCATAGGTAAAATCAAACCATCGAAGCAATTTCTCGTCTTGATTACATACATGCATATACATTTGATTGATTTGTGCATATTTGGATTCTGCGATTACCCAGAAAACGGTTGGAGTTTGGTCCTATGTTAGTACTTTCGATTTTCCCGTGTTTTTCGGGAACCAAACGAAAGCTCCTGTCTGGGTTTGATCTGGGTATTGGATACTTTAAGGTTTGTAATCAAACAAGTCTTCAGATTCATAATTTTACCAGCTCCGTCAGAAGCTTCCTTTGACTTGGATTCTTAGGGCAAATCGTTATGGCTCCTGGCTAAAAATGGTTTTCAAATTATAGTCAATGCTAGCGTAAACCGAGCTAAATGGCGTTCTAGGATTCAAACAGCTGACCCCGCTTAGAGGGATAGGGCTTGGTTAGTTGTTGTTGTAGTCAATAAGAGCATAGTATTTGATGTAATATTTTTGAGTGAAAAATGCTAATATATTTGGTCGAGATTTATCGGATTACCCTAGCTCTGGAGTTGGTTGGGATGTGCTGCATTAATTGTAGAGGTATGCGTTTCCAATATGTTGGTGTTCATAGTTTTGCTAAGAGAAACTCCCGTTTCGGAGATAGAGGGTTTAGAAGTATGAAAGAAATGAAAGAATTTACACAAAGAAAGATTTGATATCCTCCTTCTAAACAGGAATTTGCAATAGCAGGGAGACACGTGGGCCAGTGGCACCACACCATATCCTAGTACTA